TGTCCTCCTCCTTCCTCGCTCCTCCTCATTCCTCCTCCTCCTCCTCACTACTCCTCCTTACTCCTCCTCCTCCTCCTCCTCCTCCTCCTCCTCCGAATTCCTCCTCCTTCCCCTCCTCCCCATTCCTCCTCCTTCCCTGGTCCTCGTCTTCCATGTCCTCTCCTGGCGCCCTTCACATCCCCATTCCACTTCACGATTCCCAGCAGTTCCCATTACACGTTCCCCCTGTGAGAAGGCCAGTGCAACGTTTCGCATGGTGCGTGTACCTCCCATTGCACGAGTCCGATTGAACATCACCCTCCCCTTTTCACTCCATCAGTTCCAACTCGTCCGCGTTTCTTCGTCTCCGCACTTCACATTTCCCTTTCAAGGGGTCTAAGTACAACGCTTTCCATGATAAATGTCCTTCCCACTGCACGAGCACGCTCGAGCCCCAAGTGGACCGCGTGTCCCCTTCCGGGGATGCCATGCGGGAGCGGGTTCGCCATCGCCAACCCTGTTACGGTGAGGGCTTTTGTTAAGGAACGTGCCCAGGAGGCTGGAGGAGTCTTTGTCTAATGGGGGCGGCGGCGATTTCCATGGCCCATCCACGACTGGAGTTCCACTGGCTTCCAGACCCTGAATTCCCTACCCCATGGTTCCTTTGATCCGATGCCCTCTCCGTGCTCGACAGGCCTGCGCCACGTTCCCCTGGCACCTGGAGGGCAGGTGTGGCGACAGTGCAGTCTGGGCCGCGCGGGGTGCCCGACCATCCATCTGAGGAAGAGGAGGAGGGGGCTTTCCAGCGTTCCGACGGAGGAGGGGGGGAAGACACCCTGGAGGCTGCTGCCAGATGGTTGGATGCTGCTGAGGAGTGTCTGATGAAGCTGCACTCTCTGTCGTCCACGAAGCACTCTCTTTCGTCCAAGCAGCTTCCTCCTCGTCCTGCTCCCCCAGGATAGGGCAGGGAGTCGAGGCGGGAGGGGGAGATCGTGCGATCCTTCGGATCGCTGCGAGGTCTCATTGAGGCCGTGTGGTCCGTGGCCCACCCGCGCCCCTTCCAATGTTCGCGGTAGTGGCCGCCGAGCGCAATTCCTCAGGCCAGTTTTGGTTGGGGATTGCGGGCTGGGTGGGCAGGACCGGATCGAGTTGTTCTGTTCTGGGAGGGTTGCAGGGTCCCCTCGAGGGCTCTCGAGGGCTCTTATTGTTGGTACGGTTTGGTCCTCCTCGATGGCTCCAAGAACTTAAGCAGCGGGATGATGCGGCGTCGAAGGACGACGACGGGGTCGGGGACCGACTTGTGGCCACCGCCCCCGCGCGCGCACTGTGTGCTGGGCCAGCTTTTTGCTGCAGGGGTAGTGTGCAAGTTTCGTGCCCCCAAGGGATGCCGGGAGTCACGGCGGCAATCAAGGGGAAATGGGGTCGTGTGCTTGGGGTGGTATTGGGTTGTCCTGGAATCATTCGGGGGACGTGTTGAAGTCCAGCTTGGAGCCCCTGGGGCAATTTGAGGCTATCTTGTTGGTATCTCAGGCTCTCTGACAGCCTTCTGGAGGCCTCCTGGACCCTGTCGGAGGCGTCTTGAACCGATAAGGAGATATCGCACAACTGTGTTCCACGAGGCGCCCGCGGCGGCCACGGGCCGCCACCAAGCGAAACCCTGGCAAACACACCAGTGGCCACCAGGTGAAACTTCGGCAAACGCACCCAGGGCACAGGGCACCCACGAGGCGCCAACGCGCGGCCATGGGCGGCAACGTGGTGAACCCACGGTGGACCCAACCAATTTCCTCCTGGAGCCCAAATGAAAACCACTGAGTGTAAGCACTAGGTGAATGTAGAATGTATCAAGAACGTGCACCAAGAGCACACAGCAATAGCAGGCACCAAGTCATCTGGCACGGTCCTCTTCACCCCTCGTTTCTCCCTTGGCCAACAGATAGCACATGGTTGCGGGTTGGTGCAACCATATGGCGCGATCTATGCACTGAAGTCGAAGTCGTGCGGTCGACTCGGTGCAAGCGTCTGTGGTGCAAACTGCGCGGTGCAGTGCAAACTGGTGCGATCTGTGTGGTGCATCCGACGTGGTGCAGCCACCGTGCGTGGTGAAGGCGGCACCAGCCCAGCGCACGGGGCGCCAACGGGGCGCCCACGCGCGGCCTCGGGCGGCTACCGGGTGAAGCCTCGGCAAACCCACCCAGCGTACGGGTCGCCCGCGAGGTGCCCATGGGCGGCAACGCGTCGGATCCTCGGCAGACCAACCCGATTGTTTTAGGTGAGACGCCGGAACACCTCGTGCAAGCACTGTTTGCGATTGGCGGGTGGTTTCCGAGCTTTCGGGCCTCCTGGAGGACGTCTTGGAGGTCTCTTGGGCCGTCTTGGAGGCCTCTGGCGGGCCTTTTGGGCAGTCTAGGGCCATCTTCAGGCCATCTGGGGCCTTCTTGGGTGCATCTTGGGGCCATCTTCGCCGTCTCCGAGACCTTCTTAGCCGTCTTGGAGGGATCTTGGAGGCCATCTTGCCCGTCTTGGAGGCCATCTTGGGCGTCTTGGGGGCCATCTTGGGCCGTCTTGGCGTCTTGTTTGGTCCCTCGTGGGGGCCTCTTGGGCTGTCATGGGGCTATCTTGGAGGCCTCTTGGGGACTCTTGGGACGATGTTGGGGGTCTCTTGGGCCGTCGGTGAGCTGAAAAGAAGAAACTGGCAACATCCTTCAAAAACCATAGGGGAAATCAATGATGTTGGCCCTGTCGGGCCTTCCTGGAGGACGTCTTGGAGGGCTCTTGGGCCGTCTTGGAGGCCTCTTGCGGCCCTACAGGGCCGTCTTAGGCCATCTTGAGGCAATCTTGGGCCGTCTTGGGCCATGTTCGCCGTTTTGGAGGCCTTCTTTGGGGCCTCTTGAGCCGTCTTGGGGCCTTCACCATCTTGGCCATCTTGGAGGCCATCTTGGAGCCGTCTGGAGGCGAACAACCCTTTGCAGCCACCGGTTATGCACTTTTCTGGGAGGCCGGCGGGACGGGCCGAAGCCCCAGGGGGAGTTCTTTTGGAAAAAGAAGCAAAACCGAAAGGGTCTGGCACGCCGGGCACCCCTGTGGCAAGCTAACAGGGGGCGGCGGATTCTTGAGCCCAGCTGGTCGTTAACAAAGACGCCTACGGCGAATCACCGCCGCCCCCTGCCCCTTTGGAAGCGCCTCTTTGGCCGACAGCTGGGCCAGAGCTTGGCCAAGCTATCGGGCCAGTTGTTCCCCGAGTCGGTTTGGAAAGACTTCGTGGAACGCGTGGGGGAGCAAGAAGAGGAGGAGGGGGAGTATGATGAAAAAAAAAAGGAGGAGGAGGAGGCCTCTTGGGCGCCTCTTGGGGCACTCTTAGGGCCTCGTGGGAGCTTCCTGGGGACCTCTTGGGAGGTTTTGGGGGGCCTTTGGGGGCTTCTTGGGGGCCTCTTTGGCCGTCTTAGGGCGTTCCTGGCTTGTCTGACGCCGTCGGAAGCCGTCTTGGTCGCCTGTCTGGGTCGTCTTGGGGCCCTCTTGGGGCATATCAGGGGTTCTTTGAGGGCATCTTGGGCGTCTTTGAGGCCTCTTGGGCCGTTTGGGGGCCCTCTTGGTGCTGTCTTGGGAGCCTTTTGGGCCGTCATGGAGCCATCGTGAGGCCTCTTGGGCGATCTTGAGGGCCTCTTGCGCCGTCTTGAGCCGTCGGAATGCCGAGAAGAAGAAAATTCCTATATCTGTCAACATCCTAGGGACAATCAATGATTTTGACCTCTTTGCGCCCTCCTGGAAGACCTCCTGGACCGTCTCGGAGGCCTCTTGGGGGCCTCTTGGGCCGTCTTGGGCCATCTTGAGGCCAGCTTAGGCCGTCTTCGGTCCGTCTCAGGCCATCTTGGAGTCATTTTCAGGCAATCTGAGCCGTTTTGGACGCCATCTTGGCCGTCTTGGAGGCCTCTTCGGGCCCTCTTGGGGCCGTCTTGGGGGCCTTTTTGGCCCTCATGGGGCCATCTTGGAGGCCTCGTGGACGAGCTTGGGGCGATCTTGAGGGCCTCCTGGGCCGTCTTGAGCCATCGGAATGCTGAGAAGAAGCAAATGCCAAAATCCTTCAAAACCCAACGGAAAGTCAACGATGTTGGCCTGTTTGGGCCCTCCTGGAGGACCTCTTGGGGGCCTCTTCGGCCGTCTTGGAGGCTTCTTGGGCGAACTTGGACGTATCTGGGACCCTCTTGGGCCGTCTGGGAGGCCGTCTTGGGCCATCTTGGGCGAGCTTGAGGGCCTTCTTGGCCGTCTTGGAGGCCATCTTGAGCCGTCTTGGAGAATTTGTTCCGAACGTCGAGAGGTCGTCTGCGGGCCTGGAGGTCCTTCCCGGCACCCGGGCGGGACGGGCCGAAGCCCCTGGGGGAGTTCTTTTGCAAAAGAACAAAAACCAAAGCCGAAATCGTCTAGAGCCCGTTCAGAAAACCTCCCGGCGATCACGGGCGTGACCGGCCCCGCCCCCCCCCCACCCCTTCACGTCTCGGCGGTCGTTTGGTGGCGACCGCGGACGTCCTGTGGCGCTCGCAGGCTATTGTGGTGTTCAGAGGCACGCTGTGGTATTCGCGAGGGGAAGCGGTTGCGTGCGTGCCGCGTGGTGCTCTCAGGGACGCAGTGTTGTTCTGTTTCTGAGAGGCATTGGTTCGTCGGTCGTAGCGCGGCGCTCGTAGCTGCCAGCGCTGTGGTGTATACAGGCACTGGAGCTCCTTCTCCTCCTCCTCTTCGTCCGGCCTTTCTGATTAGAGTTTATTTGTATCCGGTATCGATTCGTTGACTTTTTGGCCTCCGGGCACCCTGGGCCCTCCAGGAGCCTCCTTGAGGCCTGAAACGGAACGATTAGAGTTCCTTTTGTATCCGGTATCGGTTCGTTGATTTTTTGGCCTCCGGGCGCCCTGGGCCTTTCTGGGTCCTTTGTTCACCACGCTGAATAACCGCTGCAAACGCGATGCCGGACATGATGGTCCGACAGAACGCCTGGGGATTCAGGTTCCCATCGAGTCTTATGGGGTGTT